ACTTTGCATAGAAAAGAAAAAAAAGATGAGAAAAATATTGCTTTATAAACCTAAAGACTTTATAATAAAAAATTAGATATTCTGCATATGAAAGCATTGTAATGTTTGCTGTTAATCCGCCAAATTTTGTTAACAGTCGCTTACTACTTTAAAAGTTGTAGCATGAAAACTATAACAAGCACAAAATGGTAATGAGGTTGGTCCCAGGGACCAAGTCTGTATTGAAAGAGTTAAAAATTTTCAACAATTTTAATTCTTTGTTGTCAAAAAAGTCTGAACATTTATATGCTTATGCTTCAGTCAGAAATTTAACTCTACAAATTATAACATCTTCAAATAAACAACATCAGATGGAAAATGTTTTCAGATGAAATTGTCTGTTACAAGCCTATTCAAATTGGTCATCTACTACATTATTTGTGGATTTTGCAACATTTCATGATTTGTTGAGACAGGTTCCAGTGAGTGACTTTGTGAACACATAAGATATATTATTAATGGTATTACTAATGAGCCGCTCTCCTTACATTTTGAGATGACAAACAATATCGTTTCTATCTCAAACTTGTCTTAACTCTCTCAACACGGGCTAGGTCAATTTGACCAACCTCATATAGATTAGGGTAGAAAAATAACAGACAAAATAAAATTTTGCTAAAAAAATTGTTTGAAATTGACTTAGGAGGTTTTAGAGATTATACAAATGAAATTTTAGATAAAGAAATGTGTTTTTAATCTTAACATGGAAATAACTTTGCATTTGGAGCAGTTAACATTTTGACTATATATTCATGGAGCAACTATTTTTAGCAAAAATACTTCAATAAAAATTCTGAGTTTTTTTGTCTACAAATGACTTAATAATTACTGAAAACTTGCAAAAGTTTGTGAAGATACACAAAACATTAGAAGTTATAGTATGAAACTATAAAGGTGAATTTGAGATCACAAACTCTGTAGTTTTGACTTGAGCCTGTAGTGAGAGGGTTAATTGCAAATATTAGTTTTAAAATTCAAGATATTACTTCAGTCCTGTTCAAATTTTAACTTATCTTCAGTATACAAATAGGTTAGCTTACAATATGTAAAATTTTTTGTTTCTTTGAAAATTTGAAATGCTTGTTTTTTTGTTTGTAAAATTACATTGTTAATTTAGAAATGAAGACCACTGAGTACTGTATGCTATAGGTTACAATCAGAATTCAAAGCACTAATCATTTGAATCTCAGATCCCTTCCCTCTAGGATGTAATGTTGAATGTCATTGAAATTAGAACTTGCAAAAGTGTTAAAATCATCCAACTGTGGAGAAAACTCCCCACCATTGATCTCGATCCTTAGGCCAAACATCTAAGAAAGTTCAAGTACAACAGATTTATTGATGGTTCTCTTTACATAAGCTTTCATGGCACTTTTGGATTGGTAAAAGTAATCCAATATTGTGTTTCCTTTATATTTGGAGGCCATGAATGTTTTCAGTCTGAGTCAGACACTCTCAGTCATATTCAAATATCTACATGATGACAGTCATTGACCATTGGAATGTTTTGCTAGGAAAAAAAAAAAACTTTTTGGCACGCACGCACGCACACACATGCACTCGCGCGCACACACACAAAAGCTGCATTTTTTCCTGTGATATAAACTGATTTTTCAACTGTAATAAAGGCAATATGTAAATAATCTTACACTTACAAATACGCAATTGCAAATTTACAAAGACCTTTGAACTAACAGAATTCATGGTAGAAGTGGTCATTTATGTTACCTGTGTTAAATATTACATTTTGAATAGGAACTGTTTCAGTTAGAAAATATATTATCTTAAGAAAACTAAGTGCCTCAAGTACACTTCAACTGTATTCTAAGTAACATGAAAAAAGACATTCAGGATTTTTATTTAAGATAGTGATATCCTGTTAATTGCAACAACTATCTTAATTGAAATTGAGTAAAAATTACAAGTAGCAGTAGCAATTTTTATAAAGTCCACAGCAAAAGGACAGGAAAACTTTTAGCAAATTATAGAAAATTGCTATTAATTTTGCATATGGTGGGACTTAAGTGTGCCAAGTTGACCTATATTTTGATTTTTATTCACTCCATTACTGTAGAATATGGTCATTGCACTCATTGGCTAAATGGATATTCTGGAATGCTTTTATTTGGCTAGGTACTGTATATGTTATCAATCTGAACTGCTGAAGGTGAGAATTGTGTTACTGACAGCATGATGTATGTAGGGGATCAGCTTTTACAGTGCAAGTCAACAGACTAAAAGAATATATTGTGAGCTTAAATGCAAACACAGATTTACAGTTTAATAAAAAATTACTAAAAATATTTTGTTTAATAACTATGTTAAGTTTACATCATAATGTGGGTTCCATTGAAGTAACTATGATCATGAATATACCATATGTCCAATTTTTTGTGAAATGTAAGGGCACCCTGCGGGCATCCATGAGTGTTTCTGTAATAGGCAGTTCCACCTTTTTCACAGTCAGTTCAAGTTGTAATTCAAGTGTAAAGCAATTATGTAACAGTATTCATTTTTTGGGGGACAGACAGATTTTTTTCAACTTTCAGTTGTATCCTAACCAAAATATTTCTGCCTGAAAAAACAACAAAAGAAAACATGTTTAATTATATAAAATATATTTGTAGGTGGAAAGCCTCCTGGATGACCAAGACTTCAGAGCTTCAGTTACAAGAGAAGATTTAGAGAGACTCTGTGCTGATGTTTTTGAAAGAGTTGCAAACCCTGTTAAGATGGCTTTGGAAGTTGCTGGCATGACGATGGTATGTTGAGCTATTTTGTTCAGGATCCTTTTTTTGTTTGAAAAAAAAACAACAACAACAATAACAACAACAACAAAAAAAAAGTTTTAAAAGTGTTTTAAATGGATACTTTTAAGCATACATTTTTAGTTCATTCACTTTTCTCTGATTTGCCTTAATTCATTCTATAATTTGATTGAAAAACTTGATATGAATGTGTGCAAAAACAATTAAGGATAACTTTTGAGCATTTGTACCATTGCATAAGCTATTCTAAACTTAAATGAAGTAATCTAGATATTGTAAGATCAAGCACCTTAAAAGCAGAGATGGTAAATGGTAACAAGCATAGTAGACATTGATTTTATGAGGTATAATATATTCAGTACAACAGAAGAATACCTTAAACAGGTGCACAAAAGATTGTTAGAGCAACTTCTAATGAAAATTAGAGTTTACTTGGTTTTGTGTCATCTCATGGTGTTTCCTATAAGTATTTAAGAACCTTCAAAATTGCTTGAATTTGAAAATATCAAGAAAAAAATCTATGAGAAATTGTAACATTTATCAAACTTGTTAAATCTAAATCTCCATTAAAATCAAGTTCTTGTGTGAAAAGTCATAAGCATTAAGTAGTTAGAAAAACTGTGGCTTGGTATATGTGATAATATCACTTAATTTATATCTACTTACTTCCTGTGTAATCTTCAGTGATGAATGTGTTGTTAGAGTAAAATAAACTCCATTAATAGGTTCTTTTGTTGAATAGGAACAATCTAGTATTCTTAGATCTTTTTCAACTACATTCCAAAATAAAATTTAGAAATTGAAAGTGTAGCTAAAAACTAGTGAGAAATTGTGATAGGTTATGCTATTTTTCTATAATGTTATATATTCCTTCCATGATGACACTGTAACCTGATTCTTCCATTATAATTACATATACTCCATTCTTACTGACTGACTTTTATTTGAATTGTTGAAGATTTTGAATAGATGTTTACTGATATGCCTAAAAAGTGTAACATCAGTTACAATTAATTTGTAAAAGAAAGCTTTTGTATTGGTAGTATTGAGGAATCTGCCTTGAAAAACTAAGCAAAATTTCTAAGCATATCTTATGTAAGTACATTTAATGCCATTTCATTTGTTATTTTAACAGTTTAAAAGTGCAAATTATAATTAACAATTTATTTATGTAGAAAATATTCAATTGTGTTAAACTTGCTTTGGCCTAAATTTAGTTCATCCATTTGCCATTTTGAAATATATACATTTATTGCCCAGAGCTGTCTTGATGACATTTAAACAATTTTTTTTTCATTATGTATTTTTGTTTGTTAAAATATATTAATTCCCGTCCCACCAAACATGCTTGCCCTTTCAGCCGTGGGGGCATTATAATGTGATGGTCAATCCCACTATTTGTTAGTAAAAGAGTAGCCCCAAGAGTTGGCAGTGGGTGGTGATGACTAGCTGCCTTCCCTCTAGTCTTACACTGCTAAATTTGGGACGGCTAGCTCAGATAGCTCTCGTATAGCTTTGAGCGAAATTCAAAACAAACAATTAATTCTTCCACTATTTCATATAAATACTTAAATACATAAATGTTACGAATGTTAGCAATATAGTAAATATATAATTTTCTTAGCACATGAAAGTCTTTTCAGTCCTTTATTAACCTCTTCTGTGACTTGCCCAAGATAATTTGAGCATCTTTCGCCCAAGTTGATTTGGTCAAACCAATTCTTGCAATATTTTTAATTATTTGCATGTTGTGTATTACAATCAGTACTTGTTAACTGGCATTGGAAATGCTGTTTGTGCTGTTCTCTATTGGATTGATTCTGAATTATGTATTATAAACACTGGAGAAAAGTTTCCCTCTTCTTTATGGTAGTTTCATTGAAATAATATTTATCATATATAAATCCATATATGTAACATTTAGTTATCAAGTATATTTTGTTCAGAAATATAATGAATAGATTGGAAAATAACTTTTTTTCCATTAATATATAAGTATAGGCTATCAAAAAGTGAGATTAAAAAAACACCTGATTTTCTTATTACCTCAATTGAAAAGAGGAGTGACATTAGCCAACTTCCAGTCCTTTAGCATCTGCTCACTCTTGCAAAAAAATAAAAATAGCAGCAAGTGGCTCACATATGTAATGTGAATGGACAGATGCTGTACATCCACCACTGAGATAATTTGTTCCACCAATTCTCAGATGCTACCATGTGGACTAAATATATGGTGCTACTTGGATCTGTGGAAATCAGTCTAGACCAGCATTTCCCAGACTATGTTACGTCCGAGATTGATAGGTGCTCTAAGAAAAAATCAAAGATTTTAAATTTTATTAAATATTTAAATTTTTTTTTTTCTTTATGATCATAACATATTATGAAATATTTTCCTATGTATTAGAATTAGATAATATTGATTTTGTATTGAAGAAGAATTATAGAAGATGCCATATCTATTCTACATAATATCTTAGTGGAGAGGTTTGTACATAAAATATATTATAAGCATAAAAATGTAAAAATTCATTTATATGAATTGGATTAAATAAGTAAATGAATAATATGCAAATCTAGAGGGCGCTGAGCATGCAACATACCCTCTACACTGATATTTCATGTGTCTAGTGTTCCGTAAGTTTTTTCTTAGCCGAAAAGTGTTTCATGGCCAAAAATGTTTGGGAAATGCTGGTCTAGACAGAAAATGTAGAGACTGGACAAAGGGTGAAATATAAAAGCCTATTAGCACCTATTTTAGGACATGGTAGTATGATTTCACACACAGCCGAAATGACTAAGAAACCTTGATCTTTTCATACTTCCAGGCAATTTTCATCAGCATGACATGAAAATATCTGATCATATGAACAACAATAATATTTCTTCATTGAAATGTGTGATCTATCTATACCGTGTGTGGTTTTAAGCTTGTCATTAAAGCTAAAGGCTATTTTAAAAAATTGGGTTTCTTCTTTTAACTATTTTACAAGCTTTTCAAAGATTCCTGCTCTCTGAAATTATGTTACTGTTGTTGCTGGTGTTACAATTTTCCTCACAATTTGTGGCATAAATGGGTGACAAAAGAGAAACTATTCACCCTCCATAGACATTTGGGATTGTGAAAAAAAAAAACAAATCATGTGATGATTTTATGATTGCTATTTCACTTAAGTGGCTAAACAGTTTTATTTTTAACAAAATTATAAATGTAGTTAATTTTGCTTTTCTTAGCATCAGATCTTACTCATGGGCATTAGTTCAAATCTGATTTGTTTGGTGATTTTGGAGAGAAAAAAAGATTTTGCTGTGAGAACAAAATTTAAACCTTGTGATAAAACTTTGCTTCATGTTCAATTAATTTTTTATCGTTTAAGTTAACTGCATTTATTTGTTGTTAGTTAATGTTCATATTGTTGTTATGAGCTTTTTCTGTAGCTAGACCATTAAACATGGCTGTGGTTATTGTATTATTGTTTTCCTACACAATACTTTTGTAAACATTTCAGAGCATGTTGTTGAAGTTACCAACATGTAAAATTTTGCATAGTGAAGGCTCCATTAACCCTTTCAAGATGGGTCGCTGGTGAAAAGTCATGCCATCTCGTTTGTTGACTCGTATTCAAAATTTTATTGAACTACTATTTCATGAATTTATGTCAATAAGTTTG